CCTTACCAACTATTTTCCAGGATATTCCTAATTTAAAATTATAGAATCTCAGCAGGTGTTTTAAGACAAAAAAAAGCATACATTACCAGGTGTTTTCAAAAGTTGTCAAATGATGAAAATCATTGTATTTTCTCAAAGAAAAAAATTAACAAAAATATAGTTTTAGCTGGTATTTCCTCAACATTTGCTTCAGAGGTGATAACAGCATTTACAGGAATCATTAAATTGTACAAAGGTTTTTCAATTATTGAACTCTTAATTAAATCAACAAGGGAATAAGAAAATAAAATTCCAACACTATGTTGTGTATGTCCTTAAGCTCATAAAAGTAATGTCAGCAAATATTCTGTATAATTGGCATTCTGCTGAATTAAAGAAATAAAATTAATACTTTGAACAAGAAACCTGAATTCTGTTTATTAATCATAATAAGATAATATACCTTCCTATAAAGATGCTATGTTTCTGAAGAAGTCTTCGTTTCATCGAACGACACCCAAGAGTCTGTCCACTGAACTTCTTTTCTTCCTTTGAGTAGAATGTATGTAAATCATATGAAATTTTTAACATTTGTAGGAGTTATTAAAAATAATGAGCTTTCATCAAAATGTAGATGTTACTGACGATTTTTCTAGATATGATCACATTGCACCATGTATAGCGAAGCCAAATGGCTTCAACTTGTAGTACCCATCAACATGTGCAAGATAATTTGGTCCATTGTTTAGATACATTCTTCTTGTCAAGCAGTGACTTGCTCTTAGATCAACTCCATCAGGATCGATTATTCTCAATAAACACAACATGTTATCCCTGGAACAGTATATATATAATTAATCATCAACGATTTTAAATCTAACCATTACATTTTAACAAAAATGGCTCTGTAGTATAACTAATACTATAAAAAGAACTGTGTCACCTTGAACTCTATTAAATGAAACTGATGCAAATAATGAAAGTATGAAGTTTGCAAAATTTATTATTTTAAAAATTATCTGTGGTATCAGATTACACAATGACGCCTATGAAAGATAATAATATGAAGAATTTTTTTTTTTTTTTTTTGGTCTTTGAAAAGTAATAGTGAAAATAATCAGTTGATCTATTTTCCCTCAGGAAAAATGTTCAGATAAGTAGAGAGCTTGAAAAGAAACTTAAATAAGGATTACACATACAAATTTTTAAAGTATTCAATTACTTCAGTTATTTGATCTTATATCAAGTTGGGACTTACTGAATTGACTGTGATTAGTAGACTATTCAGATTTGATCAAGCCCCCCCCCCCCCATTTTCAAATCAAAGTGCAAATTACTCTAACTTCTACTGCAGGAGTGTTAACTGGAATTGGAACTAATCCTAGGTGTGCAGATTTTAGAAGGTTATTAAACTCATCTGATTTGTTTATGCAATATAAGTTACTGAATCATATTGTTATTTAAAAAAAAGCTTCATATTCATACCTGGTTAGACATTGATCTTCCTTTGATTACACTCTTTTCTCCACACATGTCATCATTATCGTACCAACGGAAGGATTTTTGAATGTCCTCAATGTATATATTCTCAGTTCCAGCATCAAGTCTCACACACCTTGGAGCACCTATGTATTGGAAAACTCATACTACCATGAACTGAGACAAATATGGTTTCTTTGTTCAAGTAAATATTTTTTACAAAATAATGCATTTTATGTGTATTTATTCTGTATCAATACAAAATAATGTATTTAGAATGTTACTTAGTAGAAAATTAACTTGTGAAAATTGAACTGCATTTACAGTTTTCAGGAATATATTTATCAATGATTTGTAAAAATTATATACTCAACTATTTATTTCCTCCAGGAATTTCAAGAAATATGATGCTACAACAAAGGAGTCATTGTTTGTTCTTTCAACTTTAAGCCATAGTATTCGTCTTGAAAATCTGAAAGAATAGGAATTTGATCATTTAGATTAATAGTTAATATTGTTTTCTGATATGTAGCTACAACAGTATATAACAATCATAAATTCTATAACTTCATAAATTCTTGTAATCTTACATGACTCAAATGAACACTAAAAGCTGATGCACATTAACTTACCCACACATTGCACCATGTATAGCGAAGCCAAATGGCTTCAACTTGTAGTACCCATCAACATGTGCAAGATAATTTGGTCCATTGTTTAGATACATTTTTCTTGTCAAGCAGTGACTTGTTCTTAGATCAACTCCATCAGGATCGATTATTCTCAATAAACACAACATGTTATCCCTGGAACAGTATATATATAATTAATCATCAACGATTTTAAATCTAACCATTACATTTTAACAAAAAAAAAATGAATTCAATGAAATTATGATAAATATCTTATTGATAAAAAACTCATTATAAGCAATAGGCACATCGTTTGAATTCTGTTTATTAATCATAATAAGATAATATACCTTCCTATAAAGATGCCATGTTTCTGAAGAAGTCTTCGTTTCATCAAACGACACCCAAGAGTCTGTCCACTGAACATCATTTCTTCCTTTGAGTAGAATATATGTAAATCATATGAAATTTTTGACATTTGTATGAGTTAACTAAAACATAATGAGCTATCATCAAAATGTAGATGTTACTGACGATTTTTCTAGATTTGATCAATCTATCAAAAAAGAAAGATGAAATAAAACACAAGCAATATTACCTGAATAGGCCTTATTGCCATATCCACATTGTATGATCTCCGTCTTCTCAAATTAAGTCTGGTCATGCGCCTTTTCAAATGTCTACAGCTTAAGTATTTAAAAAAAATAATGCATAAAATATATCTTAAAATGGGAGATTTTAACTTCAATCACTATTTCTTAAATAACAGGTATATACATACAAGTAGAACACGCATACAAACAATCTTTGAATGAGACTATAAATTTAATGTATAGTAACTTTATTACTCTTAGAGAAAATATTAGCCTATACAGGTACTTGTATTATCATAACTTATGACAATTAATAATACCTACCTTATTTTCACACCATAATTACTCCAAAGAAGGAATATGATTTCTTTATTATCGTATCCGTTAAAGAAATATTCTTGAATCTTTTCGTCAACAAACGCCATGTTGTGCAATGACTGCTGGGAATGTTATCCGGTTATAGAAAGTAATAGTCGATAGAGCGATGGTGCGATGACGATAGTGCGATAAAGCAATAACGATGACACGATATAGCATCGCGCCATCAGTATCGCGCCATCGCATCATCGCTATCGCACCATTGCATCATCGCTATCGTGCCATCGCGTCATCGCGCTATCGCTTCATCGTACCATCGCATCATCGTCATCGCATTGTCGTGCCATCGCATCATCGGCATCGCGCTATCGCACCATCGCTTCATCGTTATCGCACCATCGCTTCATCGTCATCGCATTATCGCGTCATCGCACTATCGACTCAAACCTCGATGGTGCGATGATGCGATAGTGAACTGCGTGGCCCTATCCGGATTCCATACTACACGGTGATATTTATATACGAGGGTTGTCCGTAAAGTTCGTGGACAACCTCTATATCACGGCCTTGGTTTTTCTAAATAAAAAGGAATAAGACTTAATATTTAATTCAAACTTTACTTATATTTTTTTTATCAATTTTCAAGAAAATGCAATTATTGGAAAATATATATATCAAGCTTCAAAAAGTTTTGCTATTTCCACCCGGAGCACACAGCGATGGCGTTAAATGACGTCAAAAGTGCAAACTAGCGTTTAAGAAAAATCTGTAATCACATCTATTGTGTCGTTTTACCCATTTATGAAAGATGTCTTTATATTGAACAGTTTTTATAAAAAAAAAAAAAAATATTTCATGTGATTTAATTTTAAAAATTCCCCAGTTGTATGAAACTTCACGTATCGTTAGATGTCTGACAGCATTGAAGACGTCCCGCACTTAATCGTAAACATCCTTCAACGCATTGTCTATTCGCGTATCATCATATCATACTCCAAACTCAAACATTTATTTATAGACAATTCACACAACATATTTAGAGATTCTTATAGGAAATTCAGAGGCGTATGTGAACGATAAAAAAATTAATTTATTAGGCTAACTTAAGATTACTCGTGGTTATGTCATAATACAGTTTTTATGAATTTCAGCGCGATATCTTATGCAAAAACAAGGAAAGGAACTTAAAAAACTAGGAATCGAATATCGGGCCGTTTACCACTGCTCCGGGTAACGATACCTTCGTATATATTCAGAGGCCACAATTTGAACAAACTAGAATCTACGTTATGTCAGTAAGCTTTCACATAAGTTTAATCTTTTTTGGCCCACTGCAGTAGGAGAGTTTAGTTAAAACATTTCTTCCTATACATTCTTATATAAAATGTTGATCACCTATTAAGAAGCCGACCTATCCCCAAGGGAAAATGTCGACAACGGGTGATCAGAAAAGCTCAGTTGGACTTATTGTTCTTGTGAGCTAGAAAAGAATAGAAAATTTAAAATTTTATATAATTTAAAGCATTTCAAATGTTTTGAACTTATCTTGTGTGGAGTGTAATTTATTGGAAAGACTATGAGTAAACCACTTAACAGACTTCTTTTCCAAAAGATAGTTTAGTAAACCATACCCTTTTTCTTCAGTAAACTATAGTTTAAAAATAAATTAAATCCCAATCCATAGATTTCACTAAAGCTTATCAAAAAACTTTTTCATTATGAATCAAAGTTTTTTCTGAATAAATCGAAGTTTATGAAATTCATTTATTTTTTTCTTAATTATCATTTTTAGTAAAAGATTTTTTTTCCCGTACGTCCAAACTAATTTCTAAATGTGCCTCCCTTGTATATCGATTTTCTTTAGATAGGGTAGCTTTTAAACTCAAAACTTGAATTACAGCACCCATTATATTGCCTGAATGGCCTGAACTCCATCCATATCGATGTTAAGAGTTTATAAAGATGTCAAAATTGCCTTTTATTTAACTTGCACACAACAAATTAAAGGGCGTGGAACAAAAAGATAAAGGTTTTCACACTTCATTCAATAACATCTCCATCCGGTCTGGAAAGATATCAAAAGATAAAAACATTTTGATACACATAAGAAAGGATTCAAAGAATTACTATGGTATGTATTTTAAATTTGAAGGAGATGGGTGAACAAGGCGCGCAGAATGCCAGATACCGGTATATAAAAATTATAATCAGTTTGTGAATTTAGTATTTAGAGTAAAGTTATCAATATTGAAGTTTATGAAATTATGATAAAGAAAACTTTTTTGAGTAAAATTTTCTCCGCAAAAATTATTATGTTATTTAAAAAATATATGGTAATCGTGGGGTTCGAACCCTAGCAATAAAAATCCTAAGTATTATTTTCCTTTGAGAATAACACGCTAACCACTACGCTACACAGCTCTTGATGAATAGTTTAGGAGGCTGGATCCTACCATCAAAGGTAATGAGAATTTTTTTATCAAATATATTTTTAGAATCTACACACATAGCTTCAGTAAAAGTCAAAACAAAAAATGGGGGTCAATGCGCTTCATTTGGCGCGACAGAGCATTTAGTTTGACCTTTTTGCACTTTAAATACGTCTTACACATAAATCAATTCTTTAGGTTTTTCTACTATTATTTTTAATTCAAATAAATTATGGTAACAAACACAGTCTTATTTAATTTTGAATAGACACATTAAAATTTGTGACCAAAGAAACAAGCATTCTGAGAGTATTGCATTAGCAATACTAGTCCCCTACCGGCAAGTGTAATCTGGTTCCCGTTAAGAATAGAAAATGCCATAATTCCGTCAAAAATTAATGAAGCGGGACGAAATGCAAACTTGATCTATAACTAATCAAGGTAAAGCCACATACCGAAAATCAGCTCAATATCTACAAGCGTTTAGAAGAAAATTGCGGAAAACCCGTAAAAATTGAAAAGGCCGTAATTCCGTCAAAAATCAATAAAGCGGAACGAAATGCAAACTTGATCTGTAACTCATCAAGATACACTCACATGCCAAAAATCAGCTCAATATCTGCAAGCGTTTAGGAAAAAAGTGCGGAAAACCAAGTGGGACAGACTGACAGACAGACAGAGGGACAGACAGACAGACAGACGGACAGACAGACAGACAGACAGACGGACAGACAGACGGACGGACAGACTCAGAGGAAACCTAAAGTCCCCTCCGGTTTTCACCGGTAGGGGACTAAAAACAAAAAATCAAATTACTTCGCATGTTCAATTATTTGACCTTTTTGCACTCAAAATATGTCATTTTTCTGGCATTAAAAATTTAACGAGCAATAACATCATTTGAAAGTGATGACATTTTGCTGAATTTAAGAAGAATGGTTAAAAGTATCTTGTATATTCAGAAAAGAAAATTTAAAGTGGGGGTCTCACTGAATGCTTTTAGTACGGAATTTAATCATGGAGTTTTAACTGAATATAGTTTAATTGGCTTTGTAGAATCCAAATTTATTTGAAGAACTAAAACATTACGCAGAATTTTTTTAAATATAGATTAAGACAAAAATCTGCTCAAAAGCTTAGGAGCGAACCTCGTTAAGCATTGATTTTTTTTTTCATGTCGTCGGTCCTATAACACACCTGGCTGTGCCGACAAATTGAATACCGCGCGTTAGCGTGGTACATGTAGGATAATTTGTTGGCACGGCCAGGTATGTTATATATATATGAATGTTTGCAAATCAATATGATTTAATGATTTTCATCCTGCTACTCTCAAAACTAGCTAGTTTTGATTGTAACGGGGACCGTTACAGATGTTTCCCCAAACGCTCCCCAACTCCCTTTTAAAGTCTTATTCCCTGTGAGCTTCATTAAATAAGGCAATCAAGTATATTGGTCGTTTTACGCATTACACGCGTGCGCACGTGCATGCATGTGCATGATGATAACGTCAACTTGTCTACACTTTTAATACATCTTAATATTCTGAGTATCAAAGCATTTCATCAAAAAATATATATAAGTTACGGCTGTATCAAGTATATTTGTCATTTTACCCACTGCAGGCGCGATGGTGCATGCATGTGCATGATGACCATGTCATCTAGTCTACACTTTTCATATATCTATATATTCTGAGTATCAAAGCATTTCATAAAAAAAACCCGGCTGTATCAATTATATTAATCTTCTCACTTATTGCACAAGCGCGCACGTGCATGTGCTTGATGGCATTATCATCCTGTCTCCACTTTTAATATGTCTTTATATTCTTCTGAGTATCAAAGTATTTTATCAATAATATAAAAGATACCGCTATATCAAATATATTTTTCATTTTACGCATTGCACACGCGCGCACGTGCTTGCATGTGAGGGTGACCATGTCATCTTGTCTACACTTTTAATATATCTAAATATTTTGAGTATCAAAGCATTTTATCAAAAAAATATGAAAGTAACAACTATATCAAATATATGTCATTGTAAGTTGCACGCACGCGCACGTGCATGTATGTGCATATTGACCATGTCATCTTGTCTACACTTTTCATATATCTGTATAGTCTAAGTATCAAAGTACCGGTATTTCATCAATAAATATAAAAGTTACGGCTATATCAAGTATTTTGTTCATTTTACACATTACACGTGCACGCACATGCATGCACGTGCGTGCAAAATGACCTTCGTTCCGCAAATCTACATAACATGCCTATTAACCCTAAAAAGGTTTCGACTCAATTGGATGAGCAGTTTTCGAGAACACTCGCGGACAAAAAAGTACCCAGGAAGAAAAATAATAATAGTAAGAAACAGAGTAAAAACAATATGTTCCCAAACTTCGTTTGGGGAACATAAATATGAATCAAAAGTGTTTCCTCTATATATAACAAGTGAATACTAGTATTTAATTCTTTATTCGGTCCAACTTAAAACTCCCGAGCCATGTGTTGTGGCCCCCAACCTACATGTATCCATAGTGGTCATGATTTGAGCAAACAAATCTGCACTACGAGGATGTTTGCATATTAATGTGATTTTTCTTGACCCCTTGATAAGGACTTTGACAGCTAGAATTTTCCTCTGTATTCCTTTGTAAAATTTGATCCAAAAATGGGACCCAACCCTAGCCCCAAGATTTCATCAAATTTCAATCTTCACAACCTAAGGATATTTGCATATCAATATACATGTACCAATCATGGACCTGCTGTTCTTTGAGAAGAAGATGATAGTTTTTAATACATAATTATTCTTCTGTAAGACTTTGATCCCCGAATGGCGCCCCACCTTACCCAAGATTTGACTAACCTCAGTTTGCACTAACTATGGTTGTATGCACATTAATATGACAAATCGTGGATCGCTGTTCTTGATAAAAACAATTAACAGATTTTTTTTCCCAACATTTTCCTATGTAAAACTTTGATTCCCTATTATGGCCACACCCTTGGGAACATGATCTGAACAAACTTCAATCTGCACTACCTTGCACATTAATATAACTATGACCCCGCTGTTCTTTCCATGATTTTCTTAAAGAACTTTTTCCCATCATATTTCTTTATAAAACTTTGATCCCCTGTTGGGGCCCACCCTATACTCATGAAGACTATGATCTGAAGAAACTTGAATCTGCACTACCTCAGGATGCTTGCACATTATTATGATTAATCAAATTTTTTCTTAATAATTTCCTAAGTAAAAATTTAATCCCCTATTGTGGCCCATGCAAATATGAAAAGGAAACTTTCATTTCGTAAATAATTGCTATATGTACAACATTTTATTATCTATCCGATTAAGGAAGAAAATTGTCGAATGTCGATGGTATCGAAGAAATTTCGAATAGTCGAAAAATTCGTTTACATCCCAAAATAATAGATATGTTGATAAAACAAGAATATTGCTTGATGAATATTTCATAGAAAAACAGAAAAATACTCACTCTTGCCGTTCACATATGAAATTATAATGCTTTTCACACGGTTCATCGGCCCAAAGTCCATGGAACGGTTGCCAAAGTGCAACACAATTTGAAATCACATGATTGTTTGGTTGACTGGCGTCAAAACTGTTGACTTGGATTGGCTGTAGATTAGAAGAATAAATCCATCTGTCTTCCTCGATAATGTCAGATATTCCAATCCAATATTGGCCAGCTGCTTAATATACACGAACGCATTGATGTCATAAAAAGTCTCAGAATTTTTAATAACTATGTCATGAAAATCAAACTTATACGTTCGTGACTTATGAAATTCCTGACATCATTAGATCTCTTGTTAGATTCCTTGAAAACCTTTTTTACTCAAAGACAATTTTGCAATTATATCCTCATTATGTTCCTCGACATTTTGATATTATTGTAAGATATACAACATGTATATTCTTTATATTCCTCCAATAGTATGTTTTTTTCTCTCATTATGAAGATCACGACTTGTTATCCTCCTTTTTTTTTTTTATCTTGTATTAGTATCAGTCGATGTTGAGCGTAAAGTAGACAGTTCCTATTGTTATACCTTTAAAAATTGGTTGCTGCATAAATCTATGCTAAAAAAAGGTTTAACATTTCCAATATTTTACTGTGTAGTCATAAAAATATCTTAGGTGTTCAACAGTGACGGAATTGATCGAGTTTTAACGCAGTGCGGGTAAAGAAAATTTTCATCATGGAAGCCATCAAAATAAATAAAACAAAAGATAAAAGGTATAGCAAACCATTAATTGACTCTGTTCTTGGTCAAAATGCTTTTTGTCGTGCCCTCAAACTAAACTGCCTAACGGCAAACAGTTTGGGTCCGACAAAACGCATGTTGCCTCGAACCCAGTCAATAAACGTATGTTTCAGATGTCAATTTGACAAATGATTTTAATGCAATGCATGTAAATATATGAGATGTAGGTAATACGACCATGTGTTTTGCATCGATGTTGTACATCTTATTCAGACCTCCCCCCCCCCCCCCCACAATTTTGTCTTTTTAAATAGGAAACTTCATTTTGAATTACATTAAACTTACCTATGTTTTGACTATGGCTATTTAAGAATGTTGATTCTGCATTTGTCATTGGCTCAGCAAGTTTTGAATGAAAGGCATTGCAAATACTCTAAAAGTAGATTAATTGATAGAAAATACAATAATTAATAATTGTTCATAAACGAGAAATGATGTTGAAAAAATTAGACTAACTTTAATCTTTACTAGATTACGGAGCATTTTTTCTTCATTTTATTAAAATCAGTGTTTGATTTTGTTTTTATTAACATTATCTGCAAGAATACTTACGTATCTTTTTAACAATTTGGCACTAACTAATGAAATTTCCATTCACTGTTTTGGGTATGATATGTTTGACTATGTATTAGCATAATCAGTTTATATACCCATGCTATATGAGATACAATGAAGGGACAAAAATTACAGTGTGCAATTTTATTAGAGTTGTCTTTAAGGGACTCCATGCATTGTAAGTAAATGAGATAAGGTTCTCAATTTGTAAGAATGATATAATGATACCTCAGATTCTGCCCAAGATGCTGCTGTGTGGCTAAACATGTAACATTTATTTTGGAATTGCAACCAACCAACTTCGCATCCTGTGAAATCAATTTAGGTAATTTCCAATCAAAAGGATCGGTATAACTTTTGCTTTTATTTTTATTCTTAACGACCCTTGAGATAAAAGGAGCACTCTCTGATGTCACATTCTTTGACATACGAAGCTATTGATTCAGAAATGTATGCCACAAACACATTAATTAAGAAACGTATGCTGCAAACACCTTTTTTATCTATATATTGAAATTCATGCTGTTGTCATATTGTAATTTTTGAATTTACCGGGTGGTAGTAAGTACAAAAATTACAATATGACACTGTTAAATTTTAAAGTAATGTTTTGCAGCAAAAATACGGTACACACGGTGGCAATGTCAGTTGACGGGGAAAAGGCGAGCGTTATATACAATTAATGAATGTTCATTGTACTCGATCGCGATTTCTTCGGAATTGATAAATCTGGCAACAGGATTAGTTTAAAAAAACCATTTACAAATCTCTCCAGATGCGACCAAAAAAAAAAAAAAAAGAATAAATAAAATTATGGTACATGTAAATAAAAGAATAAGACTGTAATTCTGTAGATAATGACCTGTTGTTGAAATATATAAATATGAAGGATTACACATTTTTAAATCAAATACTAATTTTATTCTTGCTTTCATATTAAAACTTAAAAGTTCTGGAAATCTTTATACATGTATATGTAAATATGAACAAAATCCATTCTTGCTATTTAAATTTTGATACTTTATTGATTTTCAGAAGAAAGCAATGTAAATTGATTGTGCCCTTAAATAGACATATGTAGTCAAGAATAATAACATTATTAGATATCGTCAGTCTAGTTACATGTTGTATTTATATTAGTGTCAAAAATTCTACTCCATGCATTAAATCGTCCTTGAAGTATTTTTTAAAAAATATATTATTTAATGTCATTCAATACGAAAAATGCTTTTGACCTTTTGTACAAATAATTGTGCTAACAACAAGAAGTGCGGTAGTTAGTTCATCATTCCGAATAAACTAATGTGTAAAGTAAAGGGTTCCTTATCTACTAGATAAAAACGTACTAAGAAATGGCCACAAAACAAATCTTAAACGACGACGTTAAACAAAATGCAAGAATCACCTCGACTTTCACATAAAATTTAACATTATTTCTTCAAATATTTTTCATCTGTAAGCCTTGAAAAACCTAGCGTTTGTCGGGTAAAAGTTTATAAAGAGAACCTAGGCAAAAAGAGAGCAGTAATGTATGTGCTACAAATCATCAAAATTGACATTTTGCATTATCTATTGACATTTACACAACCTGAATAGGCTAGACAAAGACTTAATATATCTGAATATCGTTCAAGTTGCACGTATATGAAGTAAAAATGTATTTTACTAGTGCTTCATGATTATTAGAAAAGAATATGAAAAATATTTGCTTTCACAAAACATGAGGTCGATTACTTAAAGGGCATATCAGGAAAGTTGGTTATAGTTTTCGACTTTTCTATGAATGAAAAATGAAGATAACAATCCTAAAATTCCAATGGAATCATACACGATTGAGCAACCTAGTAATGATTAAAAGGAAATTCTAGACCATATTATATTTTGTAGTCATTCAAATAATAGTTTGAGTGATTGTACAAGGTGTTTGTAAGAGATGTTTTAAGATAAGTGAAAAACATGGTAAATATATTTTCCAACCTGTGGCGAAATTAATATTGGACAGATGAACCAACTAAATAGGGAATCAAAGTCATAAAATGGGAATCTCTAGGAAAAATCTTTTCAAATCTTCTCAAGAAAAGAAAGGCTATGATTATAGTCATATCAATTAGCAAGCATCCTCGGGTAGTTGTCATATTGTAATTTTTGAATTTACCGGGTGGTAGTAAATGTCATATTGTAATTTTTGTATTTACTACCACCCGCTAAATTCAAAAATTACAATATGACATAGTGCACAAATCATGACCCAGGAGTAGTATAAGAAGCCTGGCTAGGGGGGTCAACTGAGTGCACTTTTTTGTCCCCTGTAGGAGATGGGTGGTTTAACACACACGTCCTGGAAAAACCCATGAGGAAAGTCGTGTGCAAAAGGAGAGTACGTTTGATCTACGTTTGTGTGTAAAATCGCTGAGTCAGTAATACATAGGCAATACACACAAAAACTTGGCATCGATTCAAATCACAGCTAGGTATGCATTGTGACGTCATGTGTCATTCACACAGCTAGCTCCTCTCTCTCTATTTTCTGAAAACGGAAAAAACAATAACACAGAAAAAAAAAGTTTGTAAGATGATTTATTCAAAGTAAAAAAATGTACATAATTTTTACTTTTTCTTCTGGAGTTTCAGGGGCTGTTTCTTCTCCGTCTGGGTTGTAGTAGTAGTAGCAGGAAGATTCCTCTTGTTGTTAACTGGAATCTGTTTTTGATCCTTACTAGTCTCTATTTTCTTTTCTAGATTACCAATCTCATTCATTATCACTCCTCTAAACACACGAATCTCAGTAATCATGTCTTCTTTAAACTCACAAATAGTCTGTTGAAGTATCTCCATTACATTGGTCATTTGATCTAAGATATCACATATCAAACTTCTTTCATTTCCTTCAATACTATCCTGTGTCTCTGGTAAGATTGCAGGTGAATTCATGGAATTTTCCTATGCCATATTTCTACGTCTGTCAAGTTCGAAGTGCCCACTAAGACTGATCCTAAATTTCCAGCTCTGCTTTATATACCCTTTTTCGTGTGCAAAAATAAGTTTGACTTACGTTTGTACGTACTGTGTACGTCTCAATACACAGTCTTGGATCAGTGAGCTACCTATGCATTGTGACGTCATACACTCTATAAATACAGCCTTTCTCCGACTTTCAGCTCATTTTGTTTTCAGATCTATCAAGATGAATTTTGATAGTGCATTGAAAAAATTGTTACATGCACAACAACTTATGAGATGGAAAAAACGGGAGAAAGAATTAGAAAGAATTATTTCTCGACAGAGAACGAGAGAATTAGTTCTCAGGAAAAAATGCAAGATTAATGGAAAGATTAAAGAGAGCCAAAGCCAACCGAGCTCAACACCAACAAGTATTAAGGAATCTACCTGAAGAAGAACTACCCTCTCCCTCTTCATCACCACCTCATTCACCACCCCAGAAGCCAAAGACCATTTCCCAGTATTACCAAGTGAGACTCAATAAAGCTAAGTATTCCAGAAAATTTAAAGCTAAAGAAGATGTCTACAGTGTGAATTTTAAAGAATTTCCAGAGGAGGAAAACAGAGGATTTGTTCGGCGATTATTTAGAGACATGCTACAGAATGTCAAATATCAAATGCAGTGTAACCCTAACGATTATGTACGCCTGAACATTCACCACCCTTCTCTGGATTCCGACATTTGGTACGAGTTTACGCAATGTAAACATTTGAACGAGGACCTCATTTTAAACAAAATAGAAGCCGTGCAACAATCTAAGAAAGATTTTAAACTGGGAGGCGGGTCTATGGAATTCGACATGTTTCATGTCAAATATCCAGAAGGCAGTGGTGGACGGAATACCAAACACCTGATGGTCAACAAGGAGAGTTTTAAGAAGAATAAACAATCCATCGTTCAGATCGACAATCCTTGGGATAAATTTTGTTTAGCTCGAGCAATCGTAGTCACCCGGTTACACAGTCAAAAACCGGAAAATCCAGAGAGTTTAGTTGAATGGGAAAAACAATGGATACGTATGCGGAAGGGTGATTACAAATATTTAGACTAGAAAAATGAAGCTATAGCTCTCATGGAACAAGCCTGCTGTGATATCCATCAGCCTTGTGGACCCGAAGAATGGGGAAAATTACAACAGGTGTTAGCCCCTCACTATCGATTGAAAATATTTCAGTTCAAGTCCACCTCCTCTAAACTCAGTTTAGAGCCCCTTTACAAAGGCTGCGGAGATGGAACTTGTTTAAATGTTTTGTTAGACGACCATCATTACGATGCTATTTTGTCTATGTCAGGTGTGACGGGCAATCAATACTATTGTGATCATTGCGATGTGGGCTACAGGAACATCACAGACCATCGCACCAAGTGTCCTTACCGATGTTCCTTTTGTTTAACGGACACGCCCTGCCCTCCAGACGGGACCCTCATTCAATGTACCCAGTGCCAGGGATTTTTTCAGAGCAGAACTTGCTACAAAACCATTTATGGCCTCACAGTAAGAATACAACCACAACGGTATGCAGTTTAATGGGACGATGCGACCATTGTGAGAAATGGATGCCTAAACGATTACTCCCTCATCATCATTGCGGAGGACAGAAACAATGTAAGATCTGTAAGAAAACTGTAGAAACGGATCATCAGTGCTACGTTCAACTGAAGCCTGAGAAAAAGAAGAAGAAAGGCAGAGAGACATTACAGTTTTATATTTATTTCGATTTCGAATGTACACAGGAAAACGGCATCCACGTCCCTAATTTATGTGTGGCACACCGCGTATGTCAACATTGCGGACACTTACCCATAGAAGATCCCTGTCCTCATTGTCGACACATGGGACCCCGTCAACACGTGTTTAAAGGGCCAGATACCTTAAAACACTTCATGGACTGGTTATTACAACCCGACACAGGGAATAAGAATTCCGCCTTATTACACGACGAGGCTATCATCATTGCCCACAATTTAAAAGGATATGACGGACAGTTCATTTTAAATTACCTGGTACATTCCGCCTGCATGAAACCTACAGTCATCATGAACAGCAGTAAAATCTTATCCATGCAAATCTGCGGATTAAAATTCATCGACTCTTATAATTTTTTACCTTTTGCTCTGTCTAAAATGCCCTCTGCTTTCGGATTCACCGAATTGAAAAAAGGGTATTTCCCTCACTTTTTTAATACAGAACACAACCAGAATTATGTGGGCCCTTATCCACCGGCGGCATTCTACAATCCGGACGACATGTCTATAAGTGGACGACAGGCTTTTTACCAGTGGTACGAACAACAAGCCAGAAAAGTGTTTAATTTCCAGAAGGAATTTTTAGACTATTGTATTTCAGACGTCGATATTTTACGACGATGCTGTGCTCAGTTTCGAGCCACTCTCAAGAGCTTGGTCAATGTAAACCCCTTCCAGGAATCCATCACTTTTGCCAGTGCAGCCAATTTAGCTTACCGTCGAGGATTCATGCCCGAAGATACCATTGCCATCATCCCCAACATGGGGTATCAGCCTGCGCGTCAATATTCTGCCAAAGCCTGTCGTTGGCTAACCTGGATGAGTCACCAGAGCGGATCTCACATACGACATGCTAGAAACGGGGGAGAAGTCAAGATTGGAAGTTATACTGTAGATGGATACCAGGAAGCTACTCGTATCATCTACGAATTTTACGGATGCTATTGGCACGGATGCCCTACTTGCTATCCGAATCTACAGACCGAAACTCATCCTCACCGGACACAATTTACTTACCAGGAATTACACGAGGAAACTTTAAGGAGGAATACGGTCTTAGAGGAAATGGGGTATTCCGTACATAGTATCTGGGAACACGATTTCGATCAACAAGTACAAAGAGAGGTGACATTACAGAATTATGTACGAGACCTGGACATTCCAGATCCTTTGAACCCCCGAGAAGCTCTGTACGGAGGCTGGACGAATGCTACACGCTTGTATTGTGAGGAGGGGGACGTGAGATACGTGGACGTCTGTTCCTTATACCCTTACGTATTAAAACACAGACTTTTTCCTTTGGGGCATCCTCAGATCATAACAGACCAATTCCAGGACGTGAGAACTTATTTCGGTCTCATTCACTGTGGGGTCTTACCACCCCGAGGCCTTTATCATCCCATTTTACTTTATCGCACGGGAGGCAAGTTATTATTTCCATTATGTCGAACGTGTGCGGAACGACAGGACTCTACTTCTAAACATCGATGTCAACACACAGACCAGGAACGCAGTCTTACAGGTACTTGGGTGACTACAGAATTACATAAAGCCTTAGACATGGGATATACTTTAGAGCGGATTTACGAGGTTTGGCGTTTTCCAGAAACCAGTAAAGATTTATTCAGATCTTACATTGATACCTTCTTAAAGATCAAACAGGAAGCTTCTGGATTCCCACCTTATTGTCAGACGGAGAAACAAAAACTAGATTACATTCGTAAAGTAATAGAAAGAGAAGGAATTAGAATTGACCTGTTAAGTATAGAAAAAAATCCGGTGCGAAGAACTATAGCCAAACTCTTTTTAAATTGCTTGTGGGGAAAATTCGCTCAACGCCTGTTATTACCTAAAACTCGATACTTGAGGAATTACAGCAACTCTTACAAGATTCGACCATTGACATCAAAGGGCTATAACTCTTAGAAAATAAAGAGCAGCCAGAATCGGACATGATGCTGGTGAATTATCAAGAGAAACAGGAATTTGTAGAAGAGTGTCCCTTCGGAAACGTGGTACTGGCCTGTTTCACTACCGCTCATGCCCGATTACACATCTACGAGACTTTACAACCTTTAGGAAATCGGGTCCTTTATTTCGATACGGACAGTATCATATACCAACATAAGGAGGGACAATTTAATCCTACCCTTGGCAACAGTTTAGGAGAATGGACCGATGAATTAGACGGGAACCACATTATCAAATTCATGTCAGGAGGCCCCAAAAATTATGCTTACCTCACCGCCAAGGGAAATTCCGTGTGTAAAGTCAAAGGATTGACTCTTAATTATCGGGCTTCCGATATCGTGTCACCAGAGACATTAGAAAAAATGCTCAAGAAAGAAATTGATGAAATCCAAGTCTCTTATCCCTACAAAATACAGAGGACCCGTCAACATGAAGTCAAGACAGTACCTTTAGAAAAACAATATAGAATTGTCTATGATAAGAGACAATTGATGGAAGATTATAACACTTTACCTTATGGTTATTAAAAACATACTGTATTTCAAAATGTGTTGTTATTTTATGGGGAAAACCCCAAAATGAGGGGTTATAAAAAGTGGGGGAAAATATTTTAACACTTCAGTCATGGCTGTTCATTCTAGGAAGCCAGAGGGGCTTCCTGTTTACCCTAACTATGCTCTGATCTTAAAGAGAGAAGCTTTGAAGATGGATGGCCCGAGTCTTTAAAAGGATTATTACCCAACCTAGCCAAAAGCGGATTTTATTACAGGGGAGTGAGTGATAAGACCATCTGTTTTCATTGTGGTATGACTTTCACCAACTGGGAACCTACAGACGATCCTTATGTAGAACATGCTTATTGGAACCCTAATTGTCCTTACATCAATACCTATAAAGGACGTGAGTGGGTGATGAATGTATTCATTAACCATTTACTCCGGGTGGGATACAAACCTTCACCTAATATCAAACCTCTACTAGACCAAACCTCTACAGAGATTCAGGCAACAAGAAAATGTCACATTTGTTTAGAGGGAGAATTACAAATTGCTTTACTCCCTTGTGGACACGTATGTTGCTGTTCATTATGTGCTCCCACCTTCCGGTATTGCCCCATCTGTCGAGCCGATGTGAAGAGATCCCAACGTATATTTCTGTGTTGACTATGAATAAAAAGGATTGAAACCATATGTTTCTCTTCATTTATGATCATGCAACCTGACGAGACACTCCCGTCTTTTCAATTGAAACACGAATTTACCATGGTGGTAGCAGGACCTTCTAAATCGGGGAAAACGGAATTTGTTAAAAAATTAGTGGAAAATTTACATTGGATTACCCCCATGCCACAAAAAATTGTCTGGTGTTATCGGGAATGGCAACCTGCTTATACTTCTTTAACAGATCAGGTCTCCTTCATTCGAAATATTCCAGAAGACGATGAGAAATTAGTGGCCAATTTAAGTATTCCTCACTTACTCATTTTTGACGACATGATGGGGGGGGGGGGGAGCCATTGAATCGATCGTGGATTGGTTTACCCGTAAAGCGCATCATCGGAATACCAGTGTGATTTACATCACTCAGAAGTTATTTGATCGGGCACCACAGCATCGCACCATTAGTTTGAATGCTCATTATTTAGTGTTGTTTAAAAATCCCAGAGACAAATCTCAAATCAGTGTCTTGAGTCGACAGTTAGCCTTACCTCATCTGATGTCAGCCTATCAAGAAGCCACCAGTGTTCCTCACGGGTATCTCCTGGTTGACTTGAATCCACAGACCCCAGACGAATACAGAATACAGACAAGTCGATTGTTTGAATTGTTAACTATACACATGCCACAAGAGTATAAATAAAAATGTACCAACATTAAACTTGTCATTTATCATTATACAGTCGTCATGGGTCGACCTCTCTCAGCCAAGAGTAAATTAGTGAAAACGTTACGACGTTTACAGCGGGAGCGAGATCCTGCCAAGCGAGCCCATTTAATCGAATTAGGGCGTAAAGCCTTATTGAATTGGTTTGCTATGGGAGCTCGAAATTTGATACGTGGGGTCTTGCCTATCAATAAACAGACCCAAAAGTTTATTAATAATCATCGTCAAGATTTAAGTATCATAGCCGATAAGTCGGCGAGTGATCAAGACAGAAAAAATGCCATTTTAAAACGCGGAGGAGCCGGATTTCTAGGCGGAGTCATCATTCGTCATTTATTTAAATGGAATGCACCTAAGAAACGACGTGTTCGTCGTTTAAAAAGTGTGGTAGTGCGAGTCAATAATAAGAAACAAAGAGTGTTTCCAGATTGGATGGTCCGAGTAGGAGGAGCAGACCAGAAAGAAGAGAAAACCTCCTAAGAGAAAACCTTAAAAGAGAAAACCTGCTGCTGCTCAAAGAAAAGCCCCTCGTGGTAGAAAGAAAAAAAACTACTCCAAAAACTCCAGCTCAACGAAAAGCCATGCCTGAAAGTTTAAAAAACGAAATCAATCAGTATTATAAGGAACAAAGACAAAAAACTATTGGGGAGTTATTAAAAAAACAAGCTGAAATGAGAATGGATCGTCCTATGGGACCCATAGGCAGTCAAAGAGCTACCGATTTAGAAATGTTTCCTCAAGTCAATGTGGGAATTCCCTCTCCTAGAATTAAAGTACCCATTCACACTCCTAGAATTAAAGTACCCATTCACACTCCTAAATAGCACGCTTTCAACCTCTGACCGCTTCTACACCTCAATTTCCTAAAGGAATGAGATATAAATGCCGATATTGTTCCAAAATCTACGTCACCCAGAAAAATAGACAAACACGAGGACAAACATGACATGTATGCTCCTCCTTGAGAGTATAAAAAGGGGAGAAACCTGGGACATGTCCTCATTTTAACCCCATGATGGCTAAGAAGAAGAAGAAAAGAAGGACTTGCTGTTCTACACCATTAAAACCTCATTTGCTTCTTTTAAGAGTGTTATCTGACCCTCACTATTCCTCTCCATTAAAGACGGGTATTTTAAAACATTGTTCTTGAGATTGTATTCTCAAAATCTGCGAGATTGTGTATAACCTATAAAAAGGAGTGTTACCTCTTAGTTCGGCTCATAAACGAAAACTAGCTCCTAAGAAACACATCTTCAGGAGACTGGTCAAACCTCAATCTGTCCAGAAACGACGAGCTTTATTACTTCAACAAAAAGGAGGAAACATTTTACCCCTTTTAATCTCAGCAGCACCTTTACTGTTGGGTGCCGGTCAATCCGTCTATAAAGTCATCAAGAAGAAAAAAAGAGTCGTAAAATGGTGTTAGTTCCTGAAGTCTTATTGAATGATCTCAAGGCAAAATTACCCAAACCTCCGGAATTTCAATCAACCATCAGTTTAGGTCAGGAATTGGACGAGATTACAAGACTTGAAGATTTAACCCCAGAAGAAAAAGTCGCTTTATTTGGCCAGGAACTTCATCAATATAGGAATTATTTACAACAAGCTAAACAGGAGCCTATTTCTAAACTGAAAATTCCGGCAGCAGCAGCTCCAGCAGCAGCAGGAGCAGCTCCAGCCCCAGCAGCAGCAGCAGCAGCAGCATTGCCAGCAGCCCCAGCTGAGATTGAAGATGAAATCCTTGAAACAGTGAATAAAAACATGAAAAGAAAAGCTGGATTATTATTAAATCATTTAAAGAAAAAACCCTAAAGTGTTAACTTGGAATAAAGAAGGTGAAATTAGTTATCGAGGTCAAAAAGTTCCCGATTCTAACATTGTGGATTTAATGGCTGATAGTATGAGATCTCATTCTCGTAAAAATCATCCGGTTCCTACAGGATTAGAACAATTTGCTCAAGCTTTAAAAGAGACGCGTACTCCTCTGGAATACGTGAGCAATGGAAACCTTATAAAAGCCACGCAGAGACCTGGAAAAATCAGTACTCCTAAAAGTCACGAAATAGACGATAGTGGATTTTCTTCCTGTTTTGATACTCCAGTGAGAAGACCCATAGAAGATCCAGGAACCGTCATTAAAAAATCCATTTCAACCCCTGTAGGGACAAGGGTAGGATCCAGATATAGTCCCTTTAGAGCTCGAAAGGAATTAAAAGCCAAACTCAAAGAAGAAAAGAAATTAGGACAAATCGACGAAAATTGGCTTTCATTGCCTAAAATATGAAAAAGAAACAAGTGGAAGACATTTTAAAAGAGATTTATTATGATCCTAAAAGAGGGTACGGAGGAATACAAGCTTTGTATCGTCAGGTCAAACCTTTAGGAATTTCCCTGAAAAGATTCGAGAATGGTTAAAAGAGCAAGATACTTATACCTTACATAAACCCATTCAAAGAAAATTCCGGAGACAACAGACTAGAGTGACAGATATAGATGAACAATGGCAATTAGATTTAGCAGATGTGTCTGGTTTAAAGAAACATAATGATGGATATACGTTTTTATTATGTGCCATTGACGTCTTATCTAAATATGCCTGGGTAGTGCCTTTAAAACAGAAAACAGGAAAAGAAATGATTCGAAGATTACAAGAGATTTTTCAACAAGACGGTCGACGTCCCGTCCGCATTCAATCGGATCAAGGAAAAGAATTTACCAATCGAGAATTCTTACAAGCTTTTAAATCCATTCATTTTTTTACTACTCGTAATACGGACACTAAAGCCAGTATCGTGGAACGATTTCAGCGTACACTCAAAGCACGCATGTGGCGCTATTTTACTCGTCATAAAACCAGACGGTATTTAGAAGTTTTACCCAGACTTTTAACTCATTAGAACCATTCACTTGAACTGGTGCTCTTTTGATACTCCGATGATAGTTTCTTAAATCCCAGTTTAAAGAAGGAGATCAGGTATGCATCAGTAAAGCCAAGCGCACATTTGAAAAAGGATATTTACCTCACTGGACCACAGAACTGTTTACCATTTCTAAAAGAGTTCCTGGAAGGT